TATTACGGACCGTGGCCCACTGGGTTGGTAACATTATTGAAAATAACGCGACATTTTGGCTGTAAAAATGGCCCAATGAGTAAATACTATTTAAGCAGCTACTGTCATGACAGAAAGGTCATATTCCTTTTAAACTAGATCGCATCATCCTTTATAAGATACGTTGATTAACAATGCATGTAAACATCAATATTACTTCTTCCATAAGAAGAGATATCAGATAGCATACTAACAACTCCGATGACGTACAGGATGGGAAATATTTTATTCATTGAATGATCAGCCATATTTGGTAACTAACGCAATTAATATCATTATTATTTTTACACTTATTAATCTTTAAACAATCCTAAATGCTCAAAATATGTATAATTTCACTCAATTTATCGCAGCTAGATGAATTAGCGCAAGCCTTGAAACTAACCGTCGATTTCGACGGGTTTCACCTAGTTTATAATATTAGTATAATAGTATAAGATAACTTACCATGTTGTCATGTTTACCATAATTATTATGTTTGTGTTATAAAAGGTTTGGCAATATGTTTTGCGGCCTGACTGCAATCAGGCGACTGTGACGTTATTTTATGGTATGATTTCAATAAATATCCCGGATTAGCAACAGCCCAACACATCACTATCCCCTCCATGCATCAACCGCCGATCCATAAATTGGAATACATAAAATGTTTGTAATTTAAGTATCCAAAATGGCAGTTTTAGACCATTTCTTTATCCAAAGTTTAGTAAAAGAATTTTAAAATCGCCATTCAACTTTTAATGAAAGCAGCAATTTTGCCAAACTACCAACTTTTTTATTACTATTATTGTAATGATTATTAAATGGAATAATTTTATAATGTGAAGTAGGCCTACAGCGCAACCATTAACCTTAAAATTATTGCTCGTTTTTTAATCACTCTTGTTTCCTAGATTTTGCAGAGCCATGAATTATTGTCTTTGTTTTGTCTTAAAATACCGTCTGTGGGTACATACTTATTACTTTTAACTAATTAAAAAAAGTAGGGGGGTCGGTACTTTTTTTTGGCGATTTGGCGCGGGCGGAAATGAATAGGCCTACTTTGTGACTTGTGTATGATCTTGACCATTGTAGGATACTTCGCAAGCAATATACTGCGGCGTAGTTGTCATACAGTTAGTACTATAATGTTACGAACCTATGGATTTCCAGTAAGTTTATCTAGACATATAACTTAGTTAACCTATCATAAAGTACCATTTTATCTTGTATAAATTGGACATCCAAGGGGCCCAGCTATAGCAAGCATTTTTTAAATTGTTATTTTTTTGTGTTTAACCCACTATTTCAATAGCACAAAAACAGCCTGTGTGTAACATAAATGATCAACTCTGTTCACTATAACCTACACTTTACCTTCCTAATCCAACCTATCATCAAAACACTTAATACAGCCACGAATCCGCATAAAGCCCAACTTGCCTTCCACACATGCCTAAATAAGATATGAAAAATTCAGTGCTCAGTTGTGTTTTAGATGTACCTATGTAAAACATGTAGGCCTACTTTGAATACCTTTGCATTAGGCCTAACTTATTTTTATCCTCTTCTCTTCTCCTCTTCAGTTTTCGTATTTTCATTTTTTATTTCAGTTTCAGTTTTAGTTGACCACAGGCAGACAAGAATGTTAATAGAATAAACCCAAACTTCAAACTATCTTAGTTAATAAATTGACAAACTCGAACGTTATGGTGTGGGTGGTGTCGCCCTACACACATTCAAATCCTATCTTGGTAATAGAAGGCAAGTGGTCTCTTTGAGTGGTGCAAAATCCCAGGCCATGACTGTAGAAAATCCCAGGCCATGACTGTAGCCCATGGAGTTCCCCAAGGCTCGATTATGGGGCCTGTACTGTTCCTTGTCGCCATAAATGACCTCGAATTAAATGGTATGGCCCTTAGATTTGCGGATGACACTACCATCTTCTCGTCTGGTGAAAATCCTACTCTTGCACTTGAGACAGCTGACATCCAATTTGAAGAAGCGAAACACTGGTTTGCGTCCAACAAATTAAAATTGAATGAAGACAAGACGCAGAGACTTACTTGTACTCTCAGTCACCACGTACAAGATGTACCAAACGTAAATCTTCTTGGTTTTGCAATTGATCCAAAACTTGATTGGGATAAACACATCCAATCAGTTGGAAAAAGACTGTCCAGGGTGGTTCATCTACTTCGGAAGTTGACTAGGCTTGTCAGTAAACCTTATTTGATTATAGTGTACCATAGTCTGTTCCATAGTATTTTAAGCTATGGTCTCCTTCTCTGGGGCCATGCACCATCATGTCTTGAAATTCTCAAATTGCAGAAGAAAGCAGTACGTATTTTAACTTCTAGTAAAAGAAATGACCATTGCAAACCTCTGTTTGTCAGCACCGGTATTTTAACTATTGTCAGTCATTACATTTTTTTGTCAGCCGACCATGTGAAGGCAAACCTACATAAATTCCCTACAAGAAATACTGTTCATAGCCATGGTACAAGACATCGCTCCGACCTGGACATACCGTTCTGCCGGCTGTCTAAAACCAAAAACTCTTTCCCAACGCTTGCCCTGAAGATTTACAACCACCTGCCTACGTCAATCAAGAACCAAGGGGAAACGGCCTTTCGTACAGCCCTGAAAAACTTGTTGAGGGAGAAACCATACTACAGCCTACAAGACTTTTTTAATGAAAAACTCTTAAGTCAATAAGCCTGCGGCAAAATCATCCACCGCCAAAGTACTTTTAAATACAGTTCATACTTCAATCTATGGAAGTTTTTATGTATATAGTGTAAATAGAAAAAAAAGAAAATTGACGCAACCTATCCGGCTTTGCTGGTCTCGGTCAAGGAGGAGGTAATTAAAGGTAATTAATTAAAGGTAATATTAGTGACCTCCGAACATTTTGGCATTGTTATTTTCAGGTTAAAAGTGAGTCTAATACTCTAATAGTGGCTTTACTTTAGTACTGTACACCCTAATAGTAGCCCTAGACACTCATTCGAATGACAAAATTGATATATAGATTATTCAACATATCTATTATTTCATTCGGTTAGTTAGGTTAGGTTAACCTAATTAACCAAACTTGATATATCGAATGAAATAATCGATATATCAAATGAAATAATCGATATAAATAATCCTTATTTCACTCCATCATATCAAGTTGAAAGCCTTGGTCAGCACTTTAACCATTTATCATCCGAAGTCCTCGCCACTATCCAAGGAAAGGGGAGTCGTCATCTTCATCATCTCTTCAAATTTCTTCACTCCTTATCTGTAGAGTGTTATAGTTGTTTTGTGTAATTGTGTGTTAGGCAATTTGAGCTCTTAGATGTTGAAAGGTGTGTTCTTCGATGAATTCAGTAATGGTGTAATATGGTCTGTCAAGTAGGTACTGTTTTAGTTTATTGGCAAATTTTTTGTTGTTGTTTAAGGATTTGAGGTGGTCTGGAAGTAGGTTGAAGAAACGTGACCCTGTATGTAGTGGAGTGTTACTGGATTTTTTAAGGCCGTGTTGCGGTAGGTCAATGTCGGATCTATGTCTGGTGAAGTGGGTATGTTGATTTTGGCGGAGAAGTGGTGAGGAGTTTTTTGCTAAAATAACTGTTTCGAGGATGTAGGTTGAGATTATGGTGAGGATATGGTGTTTTTGAAAATGTGGCTTGCAGTGTTCCTGGGGGTTCTCTATTCTCAGTAGCCTATTGATCTTAAAGCCTCTTTCTGTAAAACAAGAATTTTGTTGATGTTGGCTGCTGATGCTGCTCCCCATGCGGTGATTCCGTATCTGATGTGTGATGCAAAGATTGAGTGATAAGCTATGAAAGCAGTTTCTTCATTTGTCAGTGTTCTTATTCTTCTTATGACATGTAGTGAGGAATTTAACTTTTTACATAGAAATTCGATATGTTCTTGCCAATTCAGGTGATTGTCTAGAATGATTCCAAGAAATTTTGTGGAGTTAGCTGTTGGTACTTCCAGATCTTTCCAGTTATTGTCGTTTTCCTGTCTAATTTTGTTTGATGGAGTGAAGTTTATGTGTGTTGTTTTATTTTTGTTGATCTTGAGGTCTATTGATTGACAGATTGATGTTGCGTTTTCCAGGGTTGAATTTACTTATTGTGTTTTTGTTGAGAGGATTTATGTGGGGGATTAAGATTGTTGTGTCATCTGCAAATTGTATGCACCTTTGTTGATTTTCAAGTTGTTCTGGGAAACTGTTTATGTATAGTAGGAAGAGAAGAGGCCCAAGTATTGAGCCTTGGGGAACTCCTTTCGTGGACTGTTTTAAGGAGGAACTTGTCTTTATAATTGCATTGTTTTTCGTTTGTTCGACTACAACAAATTGAAATCTGTCAGTTAGGTAGTGTTTAATCCAGTCGAATGCTTTGTCCTTTATATTAAAGTAGGTCATTTTTTGAATTAATATTTCCCAATTTATAGTGTCGAAGGCCTTTTGCATATCAAGAAATATGCCTGAGGCAGATTTTTTGTCTTCCCATATTTTTGTAATTTCATGACAAAGTTGACTTATAGCGGTGTTGGTGCTTTCTACCTTTCCTGAACCCATGCTGTTGTTCTGCAATTAAGTTGTAGGTTTCAAGGTGGTGGACTAATTGATTGTGGACAATACATTCCAGCAGTTTAGATATTGTTGGTATATTACTTATAGGCCTGTAGTTTCCAGGGACGTGTGTGTCACCTTTTTTATATTTAGGGTAAATCTGGCAATTTTTAGTTTTTTAGGAATTTCTGCTTGAAGAAAGTGATGTGTGCACTGAACAATATCAGATGCTTCATTTGAGTTAAAGAAGAGACCGGCTTACTTACCCAAGTTATCTAAACTCTCATATCACCAACAGGATTATACATCGAAATAATACTAAAATTACATTAAAAAGATAAAGCAAGGACTATTAATTATTTGGGATAGCCTATCTCAACCCATGGGTGAAAAGAGAACACCTTACCTTAATTTTCTGTGCTTCATTGATCGTTTGTTGAAATGCCCCAGTATAAAAACTGTTTTTTATATCAAATAACTCGTCAATAGCAGGTTGCTGACGAGAATTTGCCATTATAGATTTGGTCAATCAAATTATAACACTTGGACGCTGACCTAACCTGTAAGACGACGAGTTGTTTCCAATCCAAAATTCCAATGTTTGAGACGAGTTTGACATCGACACTCGACAGTTTTGACAGTCGACACGACACGACAGTCAGTACCATTGTTGCCAACGTAGTATTCCAATAGGACCCTAACCGTTGTGATTCATGACATTAAGTTTTTCAAACGTATATATTATAGTATGTTTTATCATAGATAAAACATAATCCCTTAGGTTTTTTCTATGATATTATGTTGTTTTGTAAAATGTGATGACTCAGTAATAATTGTGAAATAGTCAACGTTAGCTTATGAAATCTAGCACTGCATTAGATTGCAAAAAAGGTATGGTATAGAACGAAATTTATAGAAAATAATATTTACCATTAATTCAAAGTGCTTGTTAAACAATTAATTATTAGTATCCTTCGAAGAGAAGAGAATAGAAGTAAGATGCAGAGAAACACTCAGTGGTACACTTAAGTGGTGTCTAGCACTAATGTAGTCGCTTCGCTGGTGTCTAAGGCAAAGTCCAACACCACGCATCCACGGCCACCTTTAAAGGTGGTCCCCATCTCACTTTCATGAGCTACAGCGCTTATACGGTGGAAGGTGCCAAATTCCTCAACAGCGACTGATTAACTCAGGTTTAGGAAAAGAACTTTAAAACATATTAGTTGAAAAGTCATGCTACAGAGTTCGTGATTTGTCCGCTGACATATTATAGTCAGTGATTCCTGTTAAATTTAACCATGGATAAAACATACTCCTTTCATTTCATTTCATTTCATAAATAAATAAAACAAATGTGTCAGATTGCTGAAACAGTTTATTTAGCTAGCAGTCTTTTGTAGGTACATATTTACCAAGAGATGTTCATTTTCAACTATTGTAACGTGACTTTCCCAATACATTGTATTGACGTCCTAGAATATTTTAAAAGTGATTTTAGAACGTTTAAGCTGGGGTATGGGTCCTAAATAAGTACCAAAAATGTTTGCCATTGGTCTTCTGTTGACCAGCTTATCTATTTTTTTTATGGTGTCCATCCGTAAATCATCGAATTAAAATGTGGCATAGTCAAAATAAAATTCCCTAACTGTAAAGAAAGTGTTTGAATGCAACCTGATAATTTATGTAGACCCTGCGGGAAATATATAGCTTATTCAGTGACCATACTTAAAAAAATATGAAGCTCTTTGACATTTATATAAGCCTGCGAAACATAGAAAAAAAGAACAACACGGTAATTCTTGTTCTTCTCATAATAACTTTTTCGTTTGTTTTTATTATTGTTTTTGTTTAAATAAAAAAATAGAACAATAAACAAATCATCAAGAGAAGTTACGATTTAATTTTGTTAAATGTCCTGTACTAACTAAGTTAGACTCAGAGATTTTGATAAATCAAACCCGGGCGACCTTTTAGACCTAAATGGGATCAAAATTACATAAATTCGAAATTTTATTCTATGGTTCGGTGTGGGTAACCTCAGTTTGTTACTCTATCTACAAAGTCTACTTAGCTGGAACATGTAAGTTTTAAAATAAGCTTTTGTTTTAAATCAGAGAGACCCAGGAACTAAAAACGAAGACCATCTATTTTGAATAGGCCTAACCTTACTTTATTGTGGACATTAGGCATCAACAATGTGTATTTTTATTTGAACTTATCAGTCCTGGCTATCTGTATTTAAATCTCGGTTTACTGCTGATATTGTTGATTAACATGTTTGCTGCTGTAGGGAGCTGCGATGGGGGTTGCATGTTGCGATAGGAAGTTGTAGTTCCCAGGCAATAGAGCATGCCGGGTACAGTTTCTTAACTGGGCTATGCTAATATCGATTGAAACTATCGAATTGAAAATATTGATTAACAGTCGATATTTTTAAATATATCTATTATAAAATTAAACCATCATAACCTAACCTAACCAACCAAACTTGTTGATGGTAAAAAAATCGCATGAAGGTTTACTAATCGGATCGATAGTTTCAATCGATATAACCATAGCCCAGTTAAGAAACTGTACCCAGCATGCCTAGTAAACTATAAATGTAGGATAGCGCTCGTCTCTCCAACATTGTTTAGGGGTGAGCTCAGAATTTTACAGGGAATGTTGTTGTCTCCACTTGTAGTAAAAGTACCAGTTTCCTACCCCATTTTAATGGAGTTGAGGAATATTTGGATTGGTCATTTTTATTCTCAAGTTACTGTGTCAGTGCTTTGTGAGCACTTTACTGTGGAGTATTTGGCTTAGATTTAGCATAATGAAATAAAATTGTTGAAAAGGTTATTTTGGAGGATGGTGAGTGAAAATCTAGTTTGGGCAGTTTAGGCGAAGACACCCAGGGTGTCGCAACCCCCTTGTTGCTAACAACTGGCTTAATCGTGGGCTTCCGTCACATAGGTGTTTGGCTTTCACTCATGATCTGTATATAAGCAAGCATGTGACTACTGTATTATTTTTATTTAAGTTAAGTTATATGTTTATGTTTTTATATTTGATTACGGTATTGACTTTGTGTTATTCCCTTGATTCAGTTAAAAACTAGTTTTCTATTCTGTCTTCTGTTCCAATTTTCTGGGCTGAAGCATAAACACAGCAAACTACTTGCGGAATCGACGTCCATCAAGAGCAGTCGATCACTAAACACCTTTTGAAATGTAGGTTGGAAGAGTACCATCTCTGTCAATCATCTTCATGTATTTGGAAGTAAAGCCCTTGTTCTGAACAAGAAACAAACTAAAAGTAAGTTTGCTTCTCGAGCTATACAGGGAATTTTTGTTGGATATTCAGAGACCTCCTAAGCATACAGAATATGGGTTCCTGATTTCCGAAATGTAATTGAAAGTCGGGATGTCAAAATTCTTCAGCAATTTCCTAATTCAAATGTAGGCTACATTTTTGATTATGATTTTATAAATCAAGAAGAAAACAATGACAATGACTTGTTAGAGAATACTTAAAAATCCCCTTACAAAATCTTGAGTACAAACAGTGAGTTTCAAGAAAACAAAAGAAAAACACCAAGAAGCTCTTTGTAAAGATAACCAAGATGATCTTTCAAACGGAGATGTCCAAACAAATATACCTGAAAGTGATGAAGACACAATTGAGAGTGAAGCTCTACACCATCATGATCATTCAAACGAAGATATATCCATTATGAGATAAATGAAGACACAATTGAGAGCCACAACGAAAATCAGAAAGATGATCAGAGCACTAATGCATCTACATCTGCCACTTCCCGTCCTCATCTTGACACAAATCCTCCCAGATGGCTTAATGATTATACATCATATTATTCGGCTCTGGAAAATCCAGATGATGATATCTCTGAAATAAAAAATGATCCCTCATATTGGCATGAAGCTATCAAAGAAGAGATAACATCTCACCTGAAAAATATAACTTGGGACATAACTAACAAAAAGAAAGATATTAAGTTAATGTTGTAGATTGCAAACTAGTTCTGAAAGAAAAGTACAATGCAGATGGTTCTTTAGAAGGAAAAAAGGCTTGTCTTGTAGCACGAGGATTTTTTCATAGACCTCATACTGACTACGAAGAAACCTTTGCTCCTGTAGTAAAATTGAGTTCAGTACGTCTACTGCTTGGTATTTAAGTTAAGTTATGACTTTGAATCATATGGTTGTGTATCTACTGCTTTTCTAAACTGGTGATATAGGCTAAAAGAAAATATTTACATGAAAGTACCGGTACCTCCAAATCTGAAGAGCTTTTAAAGAAATAATAGATGATAACAAAGAAAACAACGAAGTAAAACTGCAAGCAAAGAAAATGTTAACTGCTTTAAAACAAAATTCTAGAAGATCAACAAATACAGTAGAGTCCCACAAACTCGGCACTCGATAACCCGGCAGTCAGGATAACTCGGCCATCACCTGGCTCAGATAATTAGTGATATTTTGAGTCCGAGTTAAACATGGACTCAAGCCAGCTCAAGTCAAATCATTCACAACTAGTCCCAAGGATTTGTTGTACTATATCTGATGACTTAATACTGACTTGTAATATAAATATAAAAAAAAGCGGTTATAAAGCTTTAAAGTTTTATTCTTCTTATTTTTAACCCAAGTTCCCGATACGATAACCCGAATTTCACAAACTCAGCACCCTCCCAGTCCACATTACGCCGAGTTTGCGGGACTCTACTGTATGTCATCTCAACAAGGCACTATATGGTCTGAAACAAGCTGGAAGACAATGGTTTTTCAAACTGGATGCTATATTAAATGTTTTGGGTTTCAAGGATTCACTTGATGATCCATGTATGTAGGCTATCTGAATCGGAAGATGAAATAATAGCAGTATACGTTGATGATCTCATCGTTGCATCTAAGAACGAAGAATTATTTCACATATTAAGAAAAAAACTGATGAAGTAATTTGAAATGCGAGATCTAGGTAAGTTGAACCATTGCTTAAGAATTAAATTTGAACAAAAAGAAGGAAAACTGATAGAAAATCAATCTAACTAAATACATTGATGCTATCTTAAAAAAGTTTTATATGACTGATTGTAAACCAATTGGAACTCCCATGGATCCTAAAGTGAAATTAAATGAACCGACACTAAATGAAACGACCAACAAGCCTTATCAAAGTCTGATAGGAAGTCTGATGTTTTTAGCAGTTGCAACGAGACATAGCATATAGCGTCAGTTATTTGAGTCAGTTTAACATTAACCATTCTGAAAAGCACTGGAAAGCTGCAAAGCAAGTTCTAAGATACCTTTCAAGGAACAAAAGATAAGTCCCTTGTATTTTAAAAATCAAATAAACCACTTGCAGGACTTGCTGATGCTGACTGGGGATCTTCTTCAACAAACAGAAAATAATTATCTGGTTATTGTTTCATGTATGCAAATGGAAGTATTATTTGGGCATCTCGAAAACAGAAGAGTACATTTACAGAATTTTAGTCGATCACAGAAGCTACTAAAGAAGCACTTATCTTAAGAAGATGATATGGGAGATTCTCATTTTATTTTAAATATGTATACTTTTTCATACACTTATATATTTATTATGCCTAATTAGGCCTTTTAAATTTAATAGGCCTAATCAATTCTTTTAGACAGTGACGATCACTTGTGAGTAAGTATTATAAACTGAATTTGACAACTGGCCAAGTTTCAAACCATCAAACAGCTAGGCTACTGACTTCTCAGGATCATACAGGCGACTTTCTGATTACTAATCAAGCACTATAATCACTCAGCTACCCAGCAATTACTTTGCAATGGTAGTTGCATGGTGGTTTCCCATGACCAGACTGCATAAAGGTTCAGGTAGGTGCTGCAAAGGTAGTAGTTGCACTTTATCACCATTGCAGCACATGCCCGGGGTTTCTTCTTTCCATTTTAAGGCCTCGCAGTACTTACATTTGAACGTCATGGTATCTATCGCCACCAAGCTATCTCCTACATGGTCTATTTTCCGATTATATGTCATTGCTAGATTTTTTCACCATCCATTAATATCTCTGGTGAATGTCTTTCAGGATGAGTTTGTTCATACTTTTTGCTTGCGTTCTTCACCTGCTTTTTACTTTGTTTATCCGTGCACCTGCTACGCCGTTTACACCTTGGTGTGATGAGATCCCGGGATAGGTTGACAATTAATTGGGAGAAATGGGCTCTTTTTGTGGCTCTAAATCGTTGAAGTGCCCAATAGACAGGGATTGCGTGAATCTGAGTCTTTTCACAGGATTACGTTATTCACAAAACTTGACATCTCCATTCCGATAAACCTCTAAAGCAAATGTGAATAGTTGTGAAGCTGCAACCAGCTTACACTAAAGGTAAACGGCTTAGACATTTCATAGAAGTATTCGCTAGAGTTATTCCCGTCACTGTCGTGGGATAAGATTGAGAAGTAAGTAGTCCCAGTTCCTCACAACATGTTCAACAATTGCTTCACACAGTGTGTTTATGTGTGTAAGGTGAATTATGAATGAGAGTGAAGTAAATAAACACGCACCATCTCCTCTGATGTGAATGATGTTGTGTGGAACAAACTCGCCATTAACATTTATAACCTTAGCGTCCATACTATGAATCGGTTTAAACAACTAAAAAAATATTAACAGAACTATATCATAAGTTCTAAAAAATTAAAATGTAATAACAAACTTAAGTTCAATTCTACTTTCTTCAACACTAATCACACAGTGCATCAAACTCAGTTGATCAAACTAGAACGCCACAGTAAATTAGGTTAATTTCACTGACACACATCCATGATTTTTGTACGGTCCGAAATAACCTTAGTAAACTTAATTTTTATTCTAACAGCTGATGATTAAATAAATTGCAGACAAACGTAAACAAAAACCCAAAACAAATTATTATTCCTTTACGAACTCCATGATAACTTTGACCTTCTGTGGGGCAGGGCCCATTTGGAATTTTGTAACATCGCTTCTTATTGTCTGCCTACGCTATGAGAGGAATATGTATGCAAAATCTCATGCTTCAGGTGCTATCGTTTGGCCTGTGCGTTGATCGGAATTTTGCTTTTTTTTATAGAGATAATGCTGTTTGTTTTTTTTATAGCAGGGGACATGTTAATAACCTGCAGAAAACTCAGCGCAATTACTGTGGTAACTTAAAAGTTAGATTTAGATTTAGGCCTGCACATAATTGTAAAACCTAATTCCTTCAATATCTAAGCCTATCTGTTATATGATAAGGAGTAGGATACTACAAGAGTAAATTTGTTTTCCAGTGTTTAACCATACTGATATTGGGGATGACTTCTCTGTTAGCTGGCATGGATTTAAAAAAGATATTGCGGATTACGAATGGACCACATGGCTACCGTTTATTATTTTCACTATCCCTCCATGGATCTTAGCTCACCTTGTGACAAGTGAGATGACACGTTGGATAGCTCCTAAGGTAATTTACCGTATATTAGTTTAATATTGGATATTAGTTATCATTGAGATATGCATGCTGTAAAAATTAAAACCTTTGTTGATCTAAAATCTATGTTATTTATAACATTGAGTGCAACTAAGACAGCCAAACAGTGTAGAGGGGAGAGAGTTCAACGTTTGTTGAAAATTTATATCTCCGACACTCCTTGCTGTGAGCCTCACCCTGCTGGCCAGTGTCGAGCACCTGTGAACGGGAGTTGTTCAATCACTTAAAGATGCTTATTATATTAAGTTTATTGGTTTGCAGATAAAATGTGGTTTAATATTGTAGTGTTTAAATCTCTATTTGTGTTTAGAGACTCTTAGAAGATAAAGCATTATGGTGGGTGGGAGAAAAGGGTTTTAGACATGTAAATATTTATTTATTTAATGAAAAATAAACAAGCATATTGGAAATCTTCTGCATAGATAGAGTGAATTGAAGTGTTTTGTGCAGACATGATGAAATTACTGTAGAATCCCTCTTATCCGGACTCCTCGGGACCAAGGCCAATCCGGATAACAGTTTTTCCGGTTAAACCGACGTCCCCAAAAACTTGTTAAAAAGGACCATTTAAATGCATACTATATAAGCCAATAATGATTATAACATAAGAATCACGTAAGATCACTGGTCTCAAATCTTTCCCACAAGAACAGTTGTTTCAGTACTGCCCACTTCCTGCCGATCTAGTCCGGTTAAACCAATGTTCTCGTTCTGATAAAAATTGTCCGGTTAAAGAGAAGCCATTTCTGCCGAGTGTAGTCCAGTTAAACCGATGTCCGGTTAAAAGGTGTCCGGATAAGAGGGAGTCTACTGTAGGCCTATATCATGTGAACAGTCACGGTGGTTCAGTTCAGCTGGCATTGTTGTACAGGCTTATTACATTATGAAATTCTTATTCTATACATTCTTACATATGTTTAATTCTTTGTTACATTTTGGACCGCTAGAAACAATTCGTTTGTATGGTGCTCCCACTATTCTTGCATCCTGGAGCACTCACTTTTCTCTATTACCATTGGATTATGATGATGAGGGAAACATTTTTTCTCTAACTCTATATCTTATCAATTTAATAAATTAATATTTTGTTGTCCTAAGTTTTAAGATAATGTTATAGAACTTGTCCATGCTAATGTCTGACCTTGATACAGAATATTGTGTAATAACTTTAGTAAATGACTTTTTATTTGTTTCAGGGTATCCCAGCAGTCTATTCTACTGTTACTTTTCTTTTCCTCTCACTCCATTTTAGTCCAGCTGCTGCATTATTTGCATTGGGCCAAGTTGTGGTGTATTATGTTATATTACGACTGAAGTCTGTGACTCTTGTTTGGATGTTTGGTGTTCCGTTTCTGCTCCTCTCTTGTTTTGCTCTTCAGGAGTTCTGGGTGAGTACACTTAATATTCATATAAGGTTGAAGCCAAAATCATCTATGAAAACTACACTGCAGGCTACCATCTTATAGGCAGATCTCTATCTATATGCACCTTAGCTCATAATTTTCAGCTCATAACAAGACACAAACCAACCTTTTTTTGAAATACAATTAAATTAAATTGAATATTTGAAAATTCCGTTGATTTTGTTAAAAGAAAGACACTTTCTTGGGTTAAAATATGTAGCACACAAAATATTTGATCCTGGATTAATCTCAAAGGAAGAACACCATCCATCAGCATAGAAGTAATAATATCCTAGGGTAACTTTGAAACTGGCACGTTATACTTTTGGTACTAAAAAATCAATTCAAAATATATTAAGAAAATAATGTAAAAAATTAGAAAAATAGTAGATTGCAGTTGCAGTAGAGAGTTGATTATTCAGAGCGATAGGGGATGGAGGTGTTTTGGTAACTGATGTTTAGTAATTGACAGTAAAAATTGTAGGCCTATACTTTATTCTAACATTGTTGATAACATTTGAATACATTTTCACGTGTATTTTTTACTGGTGTTGATCATCTGATGTGGTCACAGCAACATTTGTGACCATATCTTGCGGTCTCGAGGAGACTAGTAGTTATTGTTTCCCGCGATCGTGGCAACACCCGTGAGCATGTTTCGCTCATTATGATACAAAATCATCTATTATTTTAGTGGAAATCCAATCAGACAAATATAAATTAGCTTGTTCTGCAGGTTCGCTGCAGCATGTGTATTTTCCATATATTGGTAGGTCAGTCAGTTTTTATGATTCTTAAATAAATTGTAACTGTGAGAACTGGAACAATATTTTAATAGCCGGTTTGTTGTTTTCAGGAACAGTGGGGTAGAGATGACCAGCAGTACACCATGATGGTAGTCAGTACGACATGGTTGCACTTGCACTGCACCAGCTACAGTCTGGAGGCTCTCTCCTCTCACAAACATAACCTTGGCTGGTCAAGTTTTTATGATCTTTTGGGTTATAGCCTGTACTTCCCTACCTACTTCTTGGGACCCTTCATTATTTACAGTGACTTTGGTCCTCATGTAAGCTTACAAAAACCTAACTGCTTATTTTTGGTTAATCTTGTATAACTTCTATTAAAGACAAGTCCCTTCACATATAAATTAGGGTTGCAAGATCCATATAGGCTTTATACTATTATTATGTTTATCAGGTTTTGGCTTAAGAGATTATTTGGTTTGGAATTTGTTAATTTTTTCCCCATTATATTACTATTCTTTTATATCATTATTCTAATATTTGTGAGATACCTGCCCTGTGTATCTGTTTTAAATATATCTATTGTAACAAAACTTTTAGATTTTTAGGGATACTTTTATAGTGTTGATCTAGAATCTTTATGTATAGGCAGACGTTTAACCTTTTATTTGGTTATTATGAATATGTTTGAATAGCAATTCAAGAAATTTCTGATTAAAATTGACACCCAGTTTACTAACAAGATACTTATGATTTTACATTTCCAAGAATCGTAGATGGTATGTCTTCTTCATTTACAAAAAATAAATGCTAATTCATATCCTCCTTTCTTTTTAGATGTACCGGCCATTCAAAAGGTGGACTAAAAATAGGGTCTTGAAATTTTTATACAATATGATTCGTTACCTCTTTTGGGCAGCAGTGACTGAAGCTTCCCTTTATTTCCTGTACATTCATGCCCTGCAGTATCATATGTCGGTAAGAAATGTGGATTTATAGTAGTTTACAATTTGTAGATAATAGTAACTTTTAAAGTTGTATAGTGAAATCCGATATGCTTACGTACACAGATGATTGGAATATTTTTTTAGTCTCAGGAAAAGGTAGAGCAGTGGAAAACGTCCGTAATTATATAATTATATGTTGTACAACTATTTGTTTTTAAGTAACACGGTTAAGTATAACCTAAATAAATCTATACACATAAAAAACAGTAGTGGCTGGTCCATAAGCACTCTGGGAATCTGGCAATGTTGTCATCCTATTTATAAGATAACAATAAATTCTCATTATAATGTTTGTTTTTTGTATGAATACAAATGTTAGCTATTAAAAAATTTGAGTATTTTTAGCCAGGAAATTTTAGCCAAGACAAAAAATACAGTAGGTATTTATTTTTCAGATAGATAACAGTCAGGAACTTAGGTCTTTAGAGCTAGAACTCCCATTTAGCTTGTTCATAAGCTACTGTAGACTCCCTTCTGTACGGATATCTTTGGTTTAAACAATGACATTGGAATACATCTATCAGTCCCTGTAATTTGTTTCTTGTATTTTTAAAAGTTTTCTTATTTTTTATTAATTGTGGTATTGTCAATTTCAGGTTGTCGTAAGACTAGGAGCTTGGACTTTATATGGGCTTGGATTTCTACTAGGACAGTTTTTCTGCCTCAAGTACATTGTCGTGTATGGATTGATTGGGACGATTGCTAATTTTGAAGGTTACTCAGCTCCCCCTCCCCCAAAGTGTGTGGCTCGCATCCATCTGTATACAGATATGTGGAGGGTGTTTGATGTGGGCTTTTATAATTTTATACACAGGTATGCCTAACATCTTTAACTGTTGAGAAAATAGTATTATTTGCTCCCGACTAATCGTAACTACAGTTATCGTAGTTAAAGTAATAGTTGTTGACCTTACTTAATTGGTTAAGAGATATATTAGTAAAAAATGTAAAATCCGAGGTACTAACTTGAGCTTATCTAACTCTAAACTTGAAATTTGAAAAATATTCATATAGACGTCAAAAGAGTTTATCAGTTTTGTCTTGAAATTTTTATTTTATACACACTTAATGATGTAAAGGGGAGGGATTATACTTCTAGGACTCGGTTTTTCTTTCCTTCCTAATTTTCAGGACGAGACAAGATTCTTTCCTTATGTGATTTGCTTTTTATGTTTTTATTTAAATGTGTCGTCCTTATTCAAGACCCTCTTCATAAAAAAACACAATTATAGTTGTCTATTTGGTTTTGAGTTTCCTTATTATTGCAAGCACATTTTTGTTTCAGGTACATCTACTCTCCTCTATGTGCGGGCAGAAAAGAGGTGTCTACTCGTTTGATGGCGTCAGCTGTGTGTTTTTGCTTTGTGTTTCTGTGGCATGGAGTCCATCTCAGCATATTCATCTGGTCCCTCCTCAACTTTCTGGGGGTCTCTCTTGTATCTTTTGGAATTCAAATCTCCAAGACTCAAGAGTATAAAAAATGGGAGGTCAGTTAATTGTGACTTATAGAAACTGTCAAGCATTGTCTTTATGTAGACAGTGAAGAATGCAAGAGCATTTTCTTTTTTTAGGTTTGGCAGCCGTGTTGGTGATTCTTATCTTTGTTCTGTTGTAGATGGAGACACTCAGTGTAGCCAATGCCAGACGACTCACGGCTCTACTTCTCGCACCAATGTTCATCATGGGACCCATCTCTAGCTTCTATTTCTTCAGTGGGATGAACACTGGCAATGTTTTCATCACACAACTATTATTTTTTGGTATGAGATCAACATTTTTATTTAAATACTATTTACTCAAAAAAGAACCTCATTTGTTTATTTCCTTGAAATCAAGATAATTTTAAACAGAATCCAGTTGGCAAGTTTCAGGGGTCTCCAACCTTTTTATCAAAGGGCCAAATTGTCAATTTTTGGAGGAAAGGCGGGACAGACCATTAAAATTACAATGCAGAAAGGTAATCTCCTTTCAAAATTCCAAAACGAGATATTTTCTGAGCTCAGCGATGGTTTTTGAAATTTCCTTGCTGATTTCTTAGTTCCTTATATAGGTTGACTACTGGGAAACGCATGTTTTTGACTTGCGTGGTATACAAAGAATATCGTTAGGCAACGGTCAGAAGTTGTTGCGCTATGGAGGGGGAAGTGTGCAGTTTCAGTTATAGCCAAGATGTGGAACCTTGAGCATCGTACGTTTGTCTTGCGACGGTTTCAGGCAAATGGTGAATCAGCCACTCAGACTCAGCGAGACTTTCGTGCACATTTTAACATTGCAGGGCATGGTGCTATCCCTGATCGTAACATGATATTGCGTTGGATACATAATGATAACACAACTGGATCTTTGCCTAAGAAGAAACTGCCTGGACCGGCAAGGACAGTTAGTACCCCTGAGACAGTTGAAAGAATGCGCCTTGCAACAGTTCAGAGTTCTAGCCGCTCAATTTTGGAAGTGGACATCTGCTCTCGGACTTCGCCCATCCACTGTGAGAAAGATTTTGGTCAAAGATCTTAAATTTCATCCTTTCAAGATGGCAGTAGGATCAATTGAGTCAAGCAGATAAGAAACAACGTGTTAATTTTTGTAACACAATGAGTGAAATTTTTGAAGAAAATGACAAAGCGATTATCCTTATGAGTGATGAAGCACATTCTACTTGGACAGAGGAGTCAACTAACAGAATTTACGATTTTGGTGTGCAGAATATCCTCAAAACGTAGCTAAGAGACCTCTTCATAGCTTACGTGTGACTGTGTGGTTTGCAGTTAGTGAAAAGTGGATCATTGGTCCTTATTTTTTTGAAGACAACAACGGCAGAGCAGTGACAGTGAATGCACAACGGTACCTGGAAATGTTAGAAGAATATTTCTTGCCAGAACTGTGCCGTCAACATATAGAGATACTTAATGTATGGTTGCAACAAGATGGGGCAACAGCCCATATGGCTTGCATTAGTATAGAATTCCTTTAGCGAACATTCCCTACAAGAGTGATCTCTTGTTTTGGTGATGCCACTTGGCCTTCTTGCTCACCGGATCTTACAGTTCCAGATTTCTTTCTATGGGAATTTTTGAAATCTAGAGTTTACATAAACAAACCAGAAACAATACAGGAACTTAATGAAGCTATTCACCAGGAAATCAACACTATTCCTAGAGATATGTCAGCAAAATCCCTAACAAGTTTTAAGGAATGCCTTCAACACTGTATCCAAGCAGAAGACAACCACCCTATGGGTATAATTTTTATATGCTAAATTGTAAGTTATTTTATTCTGAAATTGCATATTGTGTAGACTGTTTTTTCACTCACAAATATATTTTTTGCTCTGAATTGCCTGAGTACTGGTTTTTTTTAAACATGCGTTTCTCGGTAATCACCCTATATACATATAAATGGTTGACTAACTAACATTCTTTATGTTTTTGTGCATATGGTGCTGTGACCAAGCAAAACAATTAACCTAGGTACCTATTTGTATGAGTATACAATAAATTTAGACAGCTCGATCACTTGGAACATGCTTACAGCTAATCTCCTCTTGAAAAAAACGTGGTAAGTGAGAGAAATGTACTGGTAGATAGTACTTAAACAGGTGTGTCAGCCAACCAGGGCATCAGGAATTGTAGGCCTAATATAATTTGTTATGGACCAGGGAAGGGGATTACAATGATCACCAATAGCCAATAAGCCTCAATTCATTCACAACGTTCCATTTATTGTCTTTTGACATCATAAGTAAATTGTGATCACTGGAGATCATCACAATGTTATTGATATCACAAGAGATGTTCACAGTGCAATCACAATCGTAAGTGAAGATTAAGTTATCAATGAGACCGCAAAAAAATACGGGTATTGCCGCGGTTGCAACTTAAGATCACGGCATTGCTGAGACTGCAAGATATGCTCAGGAGTGTTTGCTGTGATAGTTTAAACAAGCATTTATCAAATTGTTATCTTTTCACTTTTTTCAGGTTCCTGGACATCAGTTGGAGTCCTAATGTTTGTAGCTTATTGTATGTGCCAAGTTTCAATTGAAATAAAGACCTGGGAAGAAAAAAACCAGAAGAATAAGTCAATTTAGGTGGGGAATAATTATTTTTCTATTGTTATTTAAGGATATTTTAATGCTATTTAGGTGTTTGGAGAGGGAATGAAATCAAACGGAAAAATAAATTGTTAACATAAGGTTACGAGGTCATGGAACGTTAAGTGAACTTCATAATCTAATATGAAGAAGAAGAACCGATTCTCAGCTAGTTAATAATAATATTTCAGTATTATTAGTTATGGAAACTTCCATTGCCAGTTAAGAGTCTTCATCACCAGTAATCTAGTTGCGTTTTGGGGTATGGCCTTGAGGGGGAAGGTTGTGGGGACAGTCAGGGAGTGAGGGAGTCATTATGAATGCCATTCTGAAAATATTATAACACCTGACCACTACTCGCGACTATGCGCCTACTCTCGCACAGCGGCGAACTTCCCTAGCACTGGACGTCGATCCACACATATAAAACTCATATCACTGACATCATTGCTCTTCTTCCTATTTAGATTATTTATTGTCTTTGAGAGTCAACCAGAGTGATTCTGTCCTACAAAACAGTTATGGACAAGTGTTTAAAAAAAATCTGTAGCCATTATTCATATTACTGATATAAACTGACAAGTTTGAATTACTAGTAGGCATATAGGTTTTGTACCCAAAAACTTGACAAATTGGGTAAAAAAAATTGAATTTGAATAAATATAGGTCTGCACTTCTTATAATAATTAGAATTTCTTTGTTCAACTTATTATTTCATCCTTAAACAATGCCATTTTTAAATTCCAAGTTTTTTTAATATAACACAATCTTTTTCTGCTCATTGTTAATATAATTTGTGAAGCAAACTCAAAATACTGAACATAATTAAAAAAATGTAGAAATTAAATTTGGCTAATTACGTGTTCTGACTGATCTAAAAATTGCATAATCTATTACTTTAAACATTAATTCATGAACATTTACATTTTTTATAACATTATCAACAAAAATTACGGTTTTACCTTGCTTACTTTGTCTTTAATCATCCATCTTCCAAGTGGCTTATACTTTAAACATTTATCACATCATTAGAGAGCACTCAATTAGAAACAACCTAAATACACATGAGTCTATTGATGACTATAGATAGAAGCTGCTAGGGTGTGTCAATGTTAGAATAAACTCTTCATGAATGGATTGTAGTACACAACAACTGCACACTTTAAGCCGAAACATGGTTTTGCATTTAGCTGTTTCTGCCAACGTTACCCACAAAATTTTTTTGATTCATTTTAGCGAATTTCCCATATAGGGAATAAGCTATTACCGTAGGTCTCATGGTAAGACCTAGACCAGGGACCGATTTACTTTTTAATTTTGAGGTCCCCATAGGCCAAAAACACCATCCGTTCAAATTCATATATACTGTATATATATATTTATATATGTGTACATTAGCGCGATAACTCGGGCAAAAATTATCCAATTTTGATGAAATTTGGTACAAACGTGTAAACCTACGTTTATTAGAACGAGTTCGCGAACCAGCATAATCGGACTATGGCAACAGAGGTTTATGGGGTAAAAATTGATTTTCCCATTTTTGACCCTAAAAACTAAAAATTTCTAAATTTCTCTCTAGACCATTTTGAAGAGCTTATAAAAACAAATAATTTAGTATATTGACGTGTTTTTGAATGTTCATTGACTAGGGAGAAAATGTTTAAAAAATTGTAAATTTTAAATTCCCATGTTATTCTTATGGAGAATAAATAAACTGTTGTAGTTTGCTTGTTTATGGATATATTTTAATCAAATTTGGCAATTTGGTTTATTTCATACTAAGCTATCGATATTTCAATAAAAAAACACACCTCAATATCTTCCCCGTAGCAGCAAACCTAACTACTCACTAAAACTAATGTTATTTAAATAGGAAATAAATCTGAAAATTTTTAGGGAATATTTTAGTAGAAATCAAGCCGGGTAAATGGAAATTCGCTTAGTATGCAGGTTTTCTGCGACGGGGGTATTTTATAATTTATTAGGAGAAGCTACCGGACCATATCTATTACCTTAAAATGTTAAAACTATTTTCAAATTTTTGTATTGCAATTTCTTGAAATGTTTTGGCCTAAAATAGCAATACTTAAATGTATACATATATTTGAGGTTAAAAGTTTTATACATGCGTTGTCTTGAATGAAACATTTTTTTTCTTCAAATTCAGTCTCCACAATTAGTTGGAAACATCTATATTCAAAAGACATGTTTTGACCTTTTTGTTAGAGGGGTGATGAAGACTTGTATTAGTTTACACAATGATCGCACAAAGATAGTGTCGTTAAGCCTATTTACGTGAGCTGCATACACTACTTTACCTACGACCATTTTTTAATTACTAACTATCACTACGGTACTCATAACTTCTAAAAGAGGTTATGTTTTCGTTTATAACCTCTCATTGCCACTGACAGTAAGCAATGACTCATCGTACCAACCATTAATTGCACTGAGCATTAACAATTAAATTGGTAAACAGCTGATAAGTGAAATATTTCTTTTCTGTTACTCGTATTTTTAAGTAAAACAATGCTGTTAAGTGAATCTTTTCAATTTTAAGAACTGAACTGAAACCGCTAGTTAAAAAAACGGTCGTAGGTAAACATATTTAGAAGACACATTTAAGAGATATTCAGTTTGTTGATTTTTCCATTATCGTACAGTATTATGATAAATTATGTTGTAGGTAAACTTGGGGATTTATGTTAAACTTAGTTTTTGATATGTATATATGTGATATAGTGCTAAACTTATTTAGAAATATTAGGAGATTTCTAAACAATCAAATATTTCTAAACAAACATATTTAGTGATGTTAAAACAATGATTTCTGTTTAATGACTTGGGTCGACTGTGTTGCATTATTTCACTACCAACCAAGAAATTAAATGGTTTAATATCTTAAAATAAAATTTATTGTATTCGGGTAGTATATGGATACAGTTGTTACTTTATAACTGGACACTTACAATCCCAACGTACACGGTAGTCCAACATGATGCCAGTAGTCTAATTGACGTAAAAAAACCAAAACCAACAGAAACATGAACCCCCCCCCCACTCTGTGGAACTATACACTCACTGCCATTAAGTTACCTTGTTTAAATCAACTACATCTAATCTACTGTTTGGTACGTTTTGTTATTAAGAGTCCTTGGAGGCTAGCGGTCATCTAAGATAATTTTAAACAGCTGCTGAAGAGTTAATTATCATCCAAAAATAGTTTTTCAATCACCAGAGTGATCATAATATACATATCTAGTATACTGTGAAATTAGAAATGTTGTTCGTTGTTTTGAATGTATTGCCAAGGGAGTCCATGGAAGCCAACGGCCATCTTGGATTTGCCCCCCATAAGAGCAATGTTAATTTTGTTATTTTCAAACAGCCTCTAAAGAGTTATTTATTTACCACCTCAAAATATTTTTTCAAATACCAAAGTTATTGTAATTTAAATATCTAGTATACTGTGGGATTAGAAATTTTCTTTGTAGTTTTTTAATCGTTTTATGAGTTAGAACGTCTAGGCTCCAAAGACTCTTAACTTCATTTGCTTACTGTCTCCATCTCAAATGCTTTATTAAATGCATTGAGATAAAAACCAATCTTGATAATCCAACATTTTTGGTAATCTGACACCATCCTGGCCCCTTACCTTTCGGATCATAAGAGTCTCAACTTTACTAGTCAAACAGCAAACTTAAATTCTATACATAATGCATTTGTTTTTAAGTTTTCAGTGGTGAATGTTTGAAGCAAGCTAAAGATGGTACTTTCTATCAGTAAGTAAAAGTATTTATCAACGACTGCACAGTATTTATGGTTAACTGTAATTTATATATTTGTAAGATATCATATTACTTTTAATATGTTGATGACAATTTATATTTATAATCGTATATAGAATTTGTTCAAAGCTATTTCATAGGTTTATGATGTAAAATATAGCAATTAGTTGTGAATTAAAAGTTCACAAATATAATAATGTTAGCTTAAAGTAATTGTGGCTGTGATGTAAACACTGCCTTAGTCTAGACATTAACTATATTTGAATAACCACTGTTTGAGTACTAATGATTGGATTTGATAGTTTTTTAACAAATTCCTGCTTTAGGCCTAATAAGAAACTATTATACCCGAGTCTTATTTCTCAAGTGAATAACTATAGAGATGATAAAATGTGTTCAACGCAAAAAGTCTCATAAACAATTTACAGCAGTTTTACTGTATTATTGTTTTATACAGTCAGTGGCGGATTATGACCTCAGCGGCCCCATAGGCACATGTAAACTCCCCCCTCCAAAAAAAAAAACAACCGCAAATAAAAAAAAGGTAGGAACTTACAATTAAAAACTCGGCTAGTGGGTTTTTACGCTGTATATTTACATATTAATTAGTAATAACCTTACATTCGTTATAATTTAATGAATAATGAATTAGATATTTCCTTACAAATTAAATTTTCTTGCTTTTAATGTAGAAAACTCATCTATGATATCACCAGTTTTTGTTGTCTGCGGCCCCCTGAGACCTGCGGCCTCTAGGCAGTTGCCTAATCGTGCCTAATGGGTAATCCGCCACTGTATACAGTGTGTTAAAAAGTCCCGGAACGGCTTAATATTATTTTTTACCAATATAGGATACAGTGGTACAGTTTTGTATCCATCTTTAATGTACACATAGGTTGATATGTACCTCAAATTAAAGGTCTTTAATAGTAAAATATTACAATGCCGCAAATTTGAACTCAAATGGACAACCGAGTCAAAAATTGCAGCCGTTGAAAGATATCTTGAATCTGCATATTTTGAATCTTTGAACGGCTGCTATATTTTACTCAGTTGTTATTTTGAGCTCAAATTTGTGGCATTGTATTGTACTAATTAAGACCTTTAATTTGATGTGCATATCAAACTATGCATACGTTTATGATTTTCTTCCAACTTCTACCAGGTGCCTCCCTGAGGAGGTAGCTTTTAATAGCAATGCAAATTCAATGCATCCTTGAATAGCTGTAATTTTTGACTCTGTTTTCTGTTTGAGTTCAAATTTGCAGCATTATATTTTACTAGTAAAGACCTTTAATTTGATGTGCATATCAACCTATGCGTACATTAAAGATTTTCTTCTTACTCCTTGTGGGCCGTCCCCCTGGACGAGAGGAAAATTGATAATTTCTTAACTACCGACTGGGACGGTGGCGATGTCCTGTAATCCAGCTACTAGGAGGTCACGAATTGTGGATATTTATAGGCATGCACTGTGGATGAGATACTCCCTGGTGAGGATTAACGTCCGTACTAGTGAGTACTACGACTATCCGAAGTATTATCCTGATAATTAGACCAATTCGTTAATACCAAGGCAAAAATGTGGTTCGGATTCCACTATAAACTGTAGGTCCCTAAGTTGCTATTAGCTGTATGGGCTATTAATTAACAGCTGTGTCTAAGGAATACGTCGAACTTTGTCACTAACAAGACTACAAGATCGCGCCACTCATCCTACACTCATCTCCATTCATACTTTGCTTAAAATACCTACTTTGTATCGTCACCAGTTCATTGAAAAGTATTAATTGATTTAAGTATGCTCACATTAGATTTACTTATTATTATTACTTAGACTTAATCCTTGTGGGCCGTCCCCCTGGAGGAGAGGGAAATTGATAGTTG